CTTAATATTTTGCAAGAAAGCAGTTCTTGAGCCTTTGAAGATTCTGTCCTCATCAGCCTTAGTAAATTCTATTCAGAGTCAGTATCTTCCATTCCAATCCCAACATCAAAGCTTCCAAAGTGCCTGCAAAGGACATGCCCAGTTACTAGACTTACTGTTCTAAATAAAGATCAAATTTATGGTTACTCACTCAAATTTTACAAGTTACAGTTTATCACAAAATTTTACAATTCCTCACTAAGAAATTTGCAATTACTCATGAAGAATCACTAAAAATAAATAATGTCATTATCTTCTTTCTCTAGATAAAAATTTAACTGTCAAATCATTTTTATCCTAAGAAATAGTTCCTAGAAGAATAGTTGGCATAATGTGCTTTCTTTCTTTATTTTTTATTTCTTTTTTAATTAAAAAAAATGTTATTGAATCACCGTGAGCTACAGTTACAAAGCTTTCATGATTGAATTTCAGTCATACAGTGATCAAACATCCATCCCTCCACCAGGGTACATTTTCTACCACCAAAGTCCTGAGTATCCCTCTCCCCACTCCCCCGACTCCCACCCTCCCCCATGGCAGACAATGGCAATTTCCCTCTGACTCTCTCTCTACTAATGGGCATTATGGTTTGCAGTATAGATGAGAGGCCAACATGTTTCGTCATTTATCTACTTTCAGCACATATCTCCCATCCCTCCAACCATCATTGATACCTCCAACCATCATTGACTTATTGATCCCTTCTCTATCCCAGCTGCCTTTTCCCCCAGCTCAAGAGGCAGGCTTCCAACTGTGGAATAATCTTTCTGGCCCTTGTCTCTACTGTCATTGCATGTTGGTCTCATCATAATGCCCTTTTTATATTTGGAACGAACAGAACTATAAATTAATCCAAAATAATTTTGATGTTAACAGAGCATGTGTTTGCAGTGCTTTAAAACAAAAGTTTACTCTTCAAACTTCTGTAAGTTTGCTTTATGTCAATCTTTGGTCTTTTACCTTTTTATTTCTCATGTTTGCACAAACATATGAGAGTTTTTCTTTTTGTTTTTTGTTTGTTTGTTTTTAGGCCACACCCAGCAGTGCTCAGGGATTACTCCTGGATCTATGCTCAGAGATCACTTCTGATAGGATTTGGGGACCATTAATTTGATGGGAATCTAACTCAGGTCACCTGCATGCAAGGCAAGGGCTCTACCCACTGTCCTATAACTTAGAAACAATCAGTTACTTAAACATGAAAACAATATACTTTTCTTTGATCTTAGGAAACAAAAACTTTTGGATTATTGCATCTATTTTTTTTGCCACCAGTGTATTTAACAGTGTCAATTACCAATATTAATTATGAAATTTAACCAAATTAGTTTGTATAGATTGGATTCTTGTGTCCACTTAAAATTCATATATTGAAGCCTAACTCCCAGTGTGATGGTATTTAAAGATGAGAGCTTTGGGAGATGATAAAATCATGTGATGAATCCCTAGTGAATGGAGAACAATGCCATTATTTAAAACACCTCAGTATCCTCTTGCTTCTTTCTCTTTGTAAGATCATTTTTGTGAATAAGAAAATAGGTTCTCTCCAGTCACTAAACCTTTGGGAATCTTAGTCTTGAACTTTCTAGTGTCCAAATTGTGGAAAACAAATCTCTGTCATTTATATGAAGTCAGAATGGATTAAAATGAATATCAACATCCATTTACTTGCTAGCACAGAGAAAATAAGAAAGTTCTTACTCCATGTTTGCCACTCAATGCCTCTTTTGCTGATCACAACACCCAAAAGGAGAGAGAGAACAAAAAGAATGCCCTGCCACAGTGGCAGGGGGGGATGGGGGGGTTGGGGGGGAGGGATATTATCCTGGTGGTGGAAAATGGGCACTGGTGGAGGGATGGGTATTTGATCATGGTATGACCGAAATCCAAGCACAAAAATTTGTAAATCTACAACTGTACCTCATGGTGTTTCACTAATAAAAAATTTTTAAAAAAAGAAAGTTGTTACTCAAGAATTTCTGGCACACACACATCTAGCATATAAAAATAGCACAATTTCATTAATTTTTATAGTCACATCCCTCTTTGTGTTCCTTATAGATGCAAAAATAAATTTCTGCCTTAACATGTTATAGATGCAGTAAATATCCTATCAGAATTATCTGATTGTAATTTTGAAATATATAAAAGCATGAGGCAAATTAAGACTATGATAATCAGTGTTTTAGATAATTAATTTTAATTTTCAATTGGATAAGTATCTATGTATTTTTCATTATTAATTTAGTATTTGTTCAGATCTTAAAGTCAGCCAAATATTGGGAATTATGTGCAAGAAGATATATTACCGAGCAATATGACTACTGTTGGTAGCAAAATCATTTATCAGAAATAAAATTTAATTAATGGAACACATTATTCTACATTGGAGGGAAGAACTGACTCACAAACAGTAATGAGGGAATCTGGGGATCTAATTTCCACCCAGCCAACCCAGCCAGAGAGTTCCGTGTTCCGGTTAGTAATGTGGTAGGCCATCCTGGCTATTGTAGTGTTCAGAGGCCCATGCAATGCCAGGGTTTGGCCTTGGGTCTCTACACCGTGCAAAGTATGTGTACCTGACCTCTGAGCTACCTCCAATCCCAACTATATATACTAGATATTTTGAAGTAATGCTAACTCATCTTATCAGTGAAACAAGTAAACTAGGTTTATGAAGTTTGGACAAGTTCATTTAATATATAAAAAAAAAATCAGTCATTTACAGGGAGAGAGTCAGTGTGAGGGTTCATACCCTATGATAGTCAGAGCTTACTCCTAGATCTGTGCTAAGGGATCACATCTGGCCTCAGGGAATCATATGCAGTGTCTGAGATCAAATCCAAATTGATCACATGCAAGACAAGCACCCTAGCCTATTGTATTCTCTCTCCTGACCCCAACAAATCAGTCTTAACCAAAAAATATAACATTTTGAGTTACAGTCTAACTTGTTATTAAAATGATAGAGGAAAAAAACATTTGCTTAAAAACCAAAATAATAAGACCATTCTGTTAATCCAAAAATTCATTAATTCATTCAAAGTTCTTACAATATGGAAGAGGAGAAAATATAAAAGTGCACAAACAAATATGACAAGCAGTGTGAGATTGATATCACAAAAAAAGAAACAAAAAGATAATTAAACAAAATTCAGGGATGGAGAAGGTAGTTAAAAGAAGAATGAAAAGTAAGCATTATGGGAACTTTTTATTTGGACATATTTTTCTTGTTTCATTCATGCTATGCTGTTATTCTCAATTCTATAAATTCTATAAATTTTCTATAAAATTTTGTTTTTATGTCCTTCACATTGTTCTTCAATTTTTTTCTTCACATTACCAACATACCCAAACTTCCTACCAGAATTTCTGGTGAAACATTGGCCTGTTTCTTAAGCTCTGTCAACTTGGAAACTTTGGGGAATCATACTTGAGATGGACAAGTCATTCTATAAATGACAATGCCTCAGAAAGTTGGTGCTGCTTTTTACTGCTTCTTCAGAGAGCATCTAATTATGGAGCCAGTGGCTTGGAGGAGAACTTTCCTAATGATTTAGAGGCCAAGTCCCAGGAGAATATATGATAAAGAAAGTGCCTTCTTACTTTTTGTGTCACAATAAAGCTCCGTCTTGCTGGCAACAGAAGAATATGACTTATCAAACAGGTACTTGAAAGAGCTGGTCAATTTCAAAGTTATGATGTCTTTATTTCTTGAGCACTGTAGAGAATCATGACACCTCAATATCAATCTCCTTTTATTCCATAATTTTTTAATGTTGATTTAGTAAGGCTACTGGCTTGAAAGGTTTTTAAGTACATTTATTACTGAAAGTACTACAAACACAGTTTTAACAAAATCATTCTAAAAGACTTCTTAGAGCACTGATATAGAGAATAGAGTGGAAGAAAAATTCCTGTTGAAAAATGTGTTTGTGCAAGAAAACTAGATCCAACTGGATCCTTAGCATCTTTTCCATGAGAATATAAAGTGAAGAAAATTTACTTATAAAAAATGTATTTTTATTTCTGTAATATAGTAGAATTATTTTATTTTAGACAGAGTATAAAAAATATTTTATTTGAAGAGACTTCAGACACTAAATTCCCATTCTTAGATTTTATTTTGAAATTTTTTCAACAGGTAAAAGAGAAAGCAAGAATTATTTTCGAAAGAGGAAATTGCAATATCACAAGATTGAAAGTGAATTTGGTAAGTAACATTATAGCATTACATTTTTATAATGCTAAAGCCAAGAGCAAAAGGAGCAGAAAAGCAGAAATATAAACTCTAAAATTATTCCCAACTCACTATAAAATATATCCATTTATTTCTTATGTTAAATTAATATATTAAGTAATATATTATTTTTTCTTACTGTGGCAATGGGCACACCTGGTAGTACTTGGAGGCTTGGAGAAACAAATGATGCTGAGAATAGAGCCAGAATCAATCAGCCACATGTATGGCAAGTTCCTTACTCCCTGTGTTATCTCTCCAGCCCCAAGTCATAAATTTAACTGAGATATAAGTAGGAATTTATAAGATATAAATATAAAGCTTCTTTACTGACACTGTGATTCTATAGTAAGGTTTAGGAAAATAAACTAGTGCTTTCATTATGTTAATGTATTACAGTCTTTCTAGAACATTTACCCAAAAATTAATAGGTTGCAAAGTGAGCTTAATTTTACCTTGTTTTATCATGATACCATAATAAGGGAGAGACCTTATTACTTAAATAGGCCACCTAAATAGGCAAGCATTTGTTTCTGTACCATCAGCTACCTATTATACCCCAAACTCAGAATAATTAATCTAGGAAAAGTAAACTATGTTTTCATCCTGGTGATTTTATTGAAAAACAACTTTGTATTGATTATCTTCTTTTCATTCTTAAAAAGAAACACATTTGAAACTTGCCTTACTGATACTGCTATATCTCTTGAACTTTCAGGTTACTGACACAATGAATGTCTCTGAGACAGACTCCAGTTTTACTTTTGTAAGAGAATTTATACTCCTAGGTTTTTCTTGTGAGTGGAAGATTCAAGTCCTGCTTTTCTCATTCTTCACTACAACGTATGCTCTGACCCTATCAGGGAATGGGGCCATTGTTTGTGCACTGCGGTGTGACCGGCGACTCCACACCCCCATGTACATATTCCTGGGGAATTTCTCCTTTCTAGAAATCTGGTATGTCTCCTCTACTGTGCCCAAGATGCTGGTCAACTTCCTCTCAGAAAATAAGTCTATATCTTTTGCTGGATGTTTTCTCCAATTTTATTTCTTTTTTGCTTTGGGAACATCTGAATGCTTCCTTTTAACTGTCATGGCCTTTGATAGGTACCTAGCTATTTGTAAACCCTTGCACTACCCTAATACCATGACCACACCTCTATGTATCAAACTGGTCATTATTTGCTGGGTGTGTGGATTTCTGTGGTTCCTGATCCCCATTGTCCTCATCTCTCAAATGCCCTTTTGTGGTCCAAATATCATTGACCATATTGTGTGTGACCCAGGGCCACTATTTATGTTAATGTGTACCTCTGCCCCTAAAACCCAGCTGCTTTGCTATACTCTCAGCTCATTAGTTATTTTTGGTAATTTCTTCTTCATCCTTGGGTCCTACTCTCTTGTCCTGTTAGCTGTGTTACGTATGCCTTCTGCCACTGGGAGACATAAAGCCTTCTCCACCTGTGGGTCTCATTTGGCTGTGGTATCACTATTCTACGGGTCTCTGATGGTCATGTATGTGAGCCCAGGGCTAGGAAATTCTGTTGGGATGCAGAAAATTGCAACTTTGTTTTATGCTATGGTGACCCCACTCTTCAACCCCATCATCTATAGCCTCCGGAACAAAGAGATAAAGGCAGCCCTGAGGAAAATTCTAGGGAGTGTCAATATAACGTAAAACATACTACATGAGCCCACCATTATCAGGTCAGTATCACCTAACAAAGAAACAAACAGAATTATATCGTTTAATAAATGTTCACGTCTAAATCTGATACTGAACCATATCAGCTTATGAAATTAAGTAATGATAGGACCAACAATAATTATAAAGCAGGAAGATGGCATAGATAATCGAAATGTTAAGTTCTTCTTTGGCAACTAGATTGTATGTTAATTAGGAATGTATGCATTTGCGTGTTTTGGATAATTTATATGATTTATATGTGACAAAAAATCATGTTAAATTTGATAACTTAGATTAATGATTCTAGGATCAAATCATTGTGTCATTTTGGTTTACTCAGTTGTAAATAAAATGACCATAATTTATTTGACCATGGTTCCCATCATATTTGACATTATTATTATTGTAATGGGGTCATTCCTGGTAAATAAATTCTTAGAAGTAATTATCCAAGATATCTGTGGGACAATAATAGTATGTTGGCTTAATGACATCCAGTCATATGTGATTTTTTTTACATATTTCACTTTTCCCAGTTCCATTGGAACTAATCTAATTTGACAAATCTAATTCCAAATACAACAGTATCAATCAAAATATTTAGTAATGTAGTTATCTGAATAGTAATATATTTTATCTGTGTGAATCAGCACTTAATGAGCAAATCTACTAAATTGTAGATAATAAAATATATCTCTCCAAAACTGTAGAGGGAAGGGCTGGAGCGATAGCACAGCGACTAGTGCATTTGCCTTGCACGCGGCTGACCTGCATTTGATCACCGGCATCCCATATGGTCCACCGAGCACCGCCAGGAGAAATTCCTGAGTGCAGAGCCAGGAGTAACCCCTGAGCATCGCCAGGTGTAACCCAAAAATAGCAAATAAATAGAAAATAAAAACAAAACTGGAGAGAAAAATAGTATAATTGGTAATACATTACTTAACTTTTTAAAAAATATTTAATTTCTATTTGCTGCTGAAAGTTAAAATAACATAGCACTATAGCACTGTCCTCCTGTTGTTCATCAATTTGCTCAAGCAGGCACCAGTGACGTCTTCATTGTGAAACTTGTTGTTACCGTTTTTGACAGATTGAATATGCCATGGGGAGCTTGCCAGGCTCTGCCTTGGGGGCATAAATTTTTCTTGTTTTGCTTTTTGGTCACACCCAACTATGCATGGGGGTTACTCCTGGCTTTGCACTCAGGAACTACTCCTGTCAGTGCTTGGGGGAGCATATGGAATGTTGGGAATTGAACCCGGGTTGCCCACATGCAAGGCAAACATCCTATCCGCTCCAACACCAAAGGAAAATTTTAAGTAAGAAAAATCTCCAAATTTCATCACTGCCAAGCAACTATTTTCATATGTGTATGTGTGTGTTTTATTTCATAAAGAATAAAACTTGTTCCCATAATAAAGCAAAATTTTATAATCACTGTTTTGCGAGCATAATATACCACTCAATATGATTTATATTGTAACTTTTTATGTCATAGGATACAGTTTTCAGAAGTTAGATTAGAATGACAATTTACAGAATGAATTAGTATTCAGGGAGTTAGAAATTCCATCAATCACAAACCTTTTATTGATCATTATCATTACTTCCACTTTTAATTGTTAAATAAAAGCAATATTAATTAGAACTCATGATTTAATTAAAAAACAAAACTCCCATAAAATCTAGTATGTAAAATTATATGCATATAATGCAAATAACATTTTTACCTTAAGAACTTTATCTTACAAAAATATCTTGATAAAGATATGAAGAAGGTAGAATTGCATTTGCGAGCATCTAAATGGATGTCCCAGATATAACAGCTCTTAATTCTTTTAACGTGAGAAGTTAAGTTCCTTGATTAGTCTAAATAGATCTCAATCATTTATCTCTTATTTAAGTAGATATTGAGAATATTTTCAAGTGCTATGACTTATCATATCCTGAGAACAGAATTTTAAAGTCATGAGATCAGACAAGGGCTCAAAGTAATCAAAAGGATGCAAGGAGACAAAGCAGAAAATAGTTCTACCGTAATGTCAGAAATTCAAACCTTCTGTTATTAAGTTAACATATTTGTGTGGTCAATAGCACAGCGGTAGGGCATTTGCCTTGCACGCAGCCAACATGGCCGACCCGAGTTCGATTCCTCCACCCCTCTCGGAGAGCCTGGCAAGCTACCGAGAGTATTCGATATGCCAGACACAGTAACAACAAAGTCTCCAATGGAGACGTTACTGGGCCCGCTCGAGCAAATCGACGATCAACGGGAGGGCCTTTACTTTTACTTTACTCTATTTGTGTGGTCATTAACTTTTCAATGATGTCTTCTTATAAGTTAAACACTACAAACAATTCAAAGCCTTTTCCTCTGTATTAAATCATGTTACATACCACTATAAGTTTTATATGCATGTATTTTTCAGAGTCAGGAAGCATTTCAGTAATAAGGTTGGGGTGGTAAAACAAGTTTTCTTTTTTATCTGAGCATTTACAGCTAGACTGTATTTTCAAATGATTGTGCTGGTTAGTGGTTTCCTTGGGGAAAATGAAAAAAATGTCAGTACTTTTCACTTTCAGGTGTGAATCATTAGTTGCCTTAAATTCTTGTGATATAAAAACGCCAAATCTCTCATACAAAGTAAAATGTATTCATAAATCCAAACATTATATATATTCTATATTCATAGCACTGTAGCACTGTCCTCCCGTTGTTCATCAATTTGCTCGAGCAGGCCCAGTAATATCTCCATTGTGAGACTTGTTGTTACTGTGTTTGGCATATCGAATACACCACGGGTAGCTTGCCAGGCTTTGCCATGTGGGCGAGATGCTTTTGGTAGTTGCCGGGCTCTCCGAGAGGGTGGAGGAATTGAACCCGTTTCGTTTCGTTCGGCTGCGTGCAGGGCAAATGCCCTACTGCTAGGCATGGGCACATGAGAGGACAGTGTTACAGATATACAAGAGTAAAATATGTAAATTTGCTTGTTTCCCAAATATAGGTTTGTTCTTATTGATAATATTGAGAGGAATAATGATTAATAATTTGATTCACTGCGGTATGCCAGACACTTTTATAAATCCTTCACATAACTTACTATATCTACTGCCTTTGACAATCCAGAGGTCAGGCCAATATTAATGCACCTCCAATTTACAAAGGATGAAATAAGAATAAAGAGTTGGAGATGATTTTTGATTCAAAGACATCTATCCATAGGGTCCATACATTTCTAGTCTGGAAAAGAGCTAGTACTGGCATCACATGGATTGGTCTCAAATCTAAATATTATTATTATTAATTATGTGACTTTATGCAATTTTGCCTTATTCCTTGATTTTTAAAGATCTATTAAAAAAGAGCTAATGATAATGCTTTCATCACAGAGTAACTGTGATGAATAAATGAAATCAATCAGAATAAGATCTTATATAAGTATTATACAGTTCATTGCAATTTGAACTGTTGTAAGAATCTTTATCATTTACAAGACATTTTGACATGGTTTCTCAGTTTACCCTCACAAATTATAAGACAGTTAGGATAGAAATCTCATAGGATAGAAGAGACTCAAAGAAAACAAGTAGTGTTTTTCTTTTTTGTTTTGTTTTGGGGACACATCTGGTGGTGCTCAAAACTTAATCCTGACTCTGTAGTCAGCGATCACTTCTGGAGGGGCTCAGGGGACCATATGGGGTGCCAGTAATAGAACCTGGGTCAGCTACATACAAGGAAAGCCTTTTACATGCTGTGTTTATTTCAAACTGAACCCAAAAATATTATCCAAGATTACTTAAAGGATCAGATCTTATTCTTCAATGTCAGTTAGAAATCTGCTGTTCCTTATACTTGTTTTACTGGAAAGCATGCTTATGTCCTCTGTAACTACCTTCTAAACTGCATAGCAATGAAGGCCAAAATTCAATTGAGTGAAAAGTTTATGTATGAAACTCTATTACTAACAATATTATAAATTGGTGACAAAAAAATTTAAAAATTAATCTCAATTAATAGCACAAATAATTACTGAGAGCAAAATTGCACTTAGAAAACATGAAAATTTTTGTTAAGATAATAATTTCATGAAAAAGTACAAAAAATATGTAGTAAATACAATGTTCTACTACTCAAAGAAGGGACACACCATGAAAAACTATGATTATACAAGTTAATGCAGAGTGACATAAGAAAGAATATTTGGAACTTTTCCCCTCTTTTGTATGAATGTGATTATTTCTTATATTTCCATGACAATATTTCATTCAAGTACGGGTGAAGGGGTAATTTAAAAATTAAGTTTAGGGGGCTGGAATGATAGCACAGCCAGTAGGGCATTTGCCTTGCACGCGGCTGACCTGAGTTCGATTCCCTGAATCCCATATGGTCCCCTGAGCATTGCCAGGAGTAATTCCTGAGTGTAGAGCCAGGAGTAACCCCTGTGCATTGCGGGGTGTGACCCAAAAAGAAAAAAATCAAGATCAGACAGCATAGTACTGGAACAAAGGCAGAGTTACAGATCAATGGAACAGGGTGGAATATCCCTACATACAACCCCAAATGTATGAACATCTAATCTTTGATAAGGGAGCAAGAAATGTGAAGTGGAGCAAGGAAAGCCTCTTTAACAAATGGTGCTGGCATAACTGGACAACCACATGCAAAAAAATGGGCTTAGACCTCGACTTAACACCATGCACAAAAGTCAGATCAAAATGGATTAAAGATCTCAACATCAGGCCAAAATCCATAAGATACATTGAAGACAAGGTCGGCAAAACCCTCCACGATACTGAGGCTAATGGTATCTTCACAGATGACATGCTACTGACCAACCAAGTGGAAACAGAGATAAACAAATGGGACTATATTAAATTAAGAAGCTTCTGCACCGCAGAAGATACAGTAACCAAAACACAAAGACAATCTACAGAATGGGAAAGGATATTCACCCAATACCCATCTAATAAGGGGTTGATATCAAGGA